CAGCAGGCCCCAATGTTAGAGATGGAAAGTTGTGGTGCCGAGTGAGGCTGAGCATCCCTCCGGTTCCCTGACCTCTGAGGGTTTGAGAGTGATTCTTAGGGGGCCCTGTGCCAGGCCCTGTAGGCCTTATTTGGGGACACCAGTTGTCCCCAGTGCCCTTCAGAGGTAGCGATCCTCAAGTCCCCAGCTCTGGGTTCTGTTCTGCCCATTTCATTGAAAATAAGTAAATAAATAAAGCAGTACTACCAGGATTCCAGGCCAGTGTTGACATGATATAGTTGTCACTCAATGCTTGAGTTCTGAGCCTCCTTCCAGGACTCAACACACATTTATTCACTGAATCAGCATTTACTGAGCTCGTCCTGGGTGCTGGGTGCTGCTGCACTGCATGCCAGGGTGCCCAGTGGGGAAAAAGATGGACAGACAAGCCCTGCTGCCAAGGAGCTCATCTTCTGGAGGAGAGAGATGGACAACAAGCAAGGAAGCGAACCCAGAGGATGTTTTTGGTACTGCTAAGCGCTATGGCAAAAACAAAGGGTGCTGGGATGGGCATTGTGGCAAGAGGGTGCCTTCCTTTGGGGTGGCTGGGGACAGCGGGCTGGGAACTTAAAGCTCAGATTCCATGATGGGACAGACAGGGGGAGGGACTGTCCAGGCCGAGGGATGAGCTGAGAGGGACCAAGTTGGACGGGCCCCACCCTGTAGGGCCAGGCAGCGGTATGATGACACCACTGGGACTGGGGTGGTGGATGGTGGTGGAGAGGGGGTTGGAGGACACTTGCTGGACACTTGCAAGGTTGCTTCTTGGAAACACTGACAGGTAATTTACACTGTCCTCACATTCACTTAACGGGGTGATGTGTGAGAGAAGGAACTGGCTCTCTGTCACTTAAGGCCATCAGGAAGGAACGAAGGGTCCCACACTACTGCCCAAGTTCAGCTCCTAAGTGGGAGCAGCCCCCCTTCAGCTCCCGTCTGTGACATTCACGGTAGTGAAGGGCCCTGCCAAGGCCTAATGAGATTCCAGTCTGCGTCAGAGAGCTCTGCTCCCCCGCACCTGAGTCACCGGCTCCCGGGAGAGGGACCTGCAGACTGGCCAGTGTCTGCCGAGTGAACGTCACCGGCTGAGACGCAGTTTCTCAGCCCAGGAGCACCACGGGGGATGAAACACGTCCACTCAAAAAAGCAGAGAAATAACTTCTTTTGATAAGCAGCCTCTGCTAGTTAATGGACCTCTGAGAGCTGTGTACAATTTAAACTTTTTATTTTTAAAAAAAACAACCCACAGCTCATTTAATCTTCTAGGAGCTTGAAATGATCAGCTGCGCAGGTTTGTGTGTGTTTCTTTTAAACGTGATTGAACATACCATGGAGAACATTAATTTTGTTTTGTTTTGTTTTGAACGAGAGCTGTGGACTTCACTCTCCCCTCTTTTGACGAAAGCTATTTTGTTTTCTGTGTACCAACTGAGGGGGCGTCAGACGACACAGGGGCCCTGTCCCAAGCGTCCACACTCCTTGGCCCTCATTCCAGCCCAGAGCGGGAGGAGCCCTGATCCACTGCCCACAGGAACGGGGTGCTGCCCTTCCTCAGCCTTCTGGTTTTCCTTCACCCTGCACTAAGTCCAGTCAAGGGGAGACCAGATTGAGCAGCTAGGAGCCCAGAACCTTCTCTGTCCCTAAACACCTTCTGATTAGAGTTGCAGTTAAGGAATCTGTCCTGCCGGGGGCCTGCAGGCATGTGGTCTCTGCCACCTGGAGGCCGGGGTTTCAGCTCTGCAGCCAGCTCCTTCCCGACTGCGTGGCTGTGGACAAGTCCCTGCTCCTTGGGAGCCTAAGTGTCCTTGTGTGCAGGGTGTTGAGTCCCACACACCCTCCTCGTGTTATTGGGCCCCCAGCATGATACGGCAGACCTGGTGCATGGCAGTGATCTGGTCACTGATTTTGCTGTGGGGACTAAGTGGGCTTACGGGTGTCTGCCGATTTGACAGGCGTCTACCAAGTCTCTGTCATGATGTGGTAGCGACTCCTAGAGCTTACGTCCCAGGAAAGCAAAGCAAAACCCAACCCACTGCCGTCTCATCGATTCTGTCCCTACAGGACACAGCAGAATTGCTGCACAGGGTTTCCAAGGCTGTCATCGTCACGGAAGCAGACTGCATCCTCTTTCTCCCATGGAGTGGCTGGTGGGCTCCAACCACTGACCTTTCATTTAGCAGCTGAGCAGTTAACCACTGTACCACTAGGGCTCCTTGACAGCAACGAAGAACCACTGAAAGAGCAGGAAACAGTGATGAGGTGGCGAGAGGCAGGAGGGCCAGGGCATTCTGCTCTGGAATCTGAGGGGGCGAGGGGTGGCCTGAGTCCTGAACGAAAAGAAAGAGCCGGGCTTCTGGAGATCAGGGAAGAGAGTGTAAGGCAGTGGCCCCGGCAGGTGCAAAGGCCCTGAGGTAGGACCAGCCTGCCCCCATCCAGAAACTGGAAGAAGGCCAGTGTGTCCAGTGCAGTGGAAACCCCTTGAGAGCTTTAAGTAGGGCCAGGCAGCGGTATGACGGCACATGGTAGTGCGTGATGCCATGTGGTGGGGAGAGCCAGAGTTGACCTCCCATGGTAGTTAAGGTTATATGGCTACTTGGCTGGCCAGCTTGTGGTAGTTATTCCCCATGGTGAGACTGGCAATCACCTTCATGGTGGAATCTGCCATGAGCAGCTGAGGAGCTGCTTTGGGGATGTGGTCTGTTTCCCATGTTTTGGGGATGTGGTCTGTTTCCCATGTTTTGGGGATGTGGTCTGTTTCCCATGTTTTGGGGATGTGGTCTGTTTCCCATGTACCTGCAGAAGCTTTGGGAATGGCCTACAGCTTTTGGCATGCTTGAACCCTGCATGTACTCAAGTCGTTGTTCAGCAGCCTGCCGTGTTGTCTGCTGATCTTGGGACTTTTAATGGACTTGAATTGGTGGCCTGCTAATATCTGGACTGTGCTTTGTTACTTGTTGACCTTGGGTTGTCAGCCTCAGCAGCCAACAGCTGCCTGAGTAAAGAAAAGCCTCCAGCTTCAGTGAGCTGGGAGCGGAGGTAGAGCTGAAACCCAAGGTCGAGGGGCTTTCACCCTGCCCCTAGAGCCTGGCACTTTGAACTCGGACTTCTAGCCTCCCAGACTGTAAGATATAAACTCCTGTTTGTTAAAGCCACTTCACCTGTGGTGTTTCTGTCAGAGCGGCAGGAGGTCACCAGAACACCTCCTCTGGCCTCATTCTCTTTGCCATGGTCTCCTGACGACACTTCACCGCCTCAGACACATCCCCCCGGCTGACGTTAATAACCCGCAGGGGCATTTCGCAGGCTGTTTAATTTTATTAAAAGATTCAAATTTGATGATAAATGATGGCATGATTCCCTCAAGCCTCGACACAAGACCTGCTCAGTCATGGCCATGTTCTTATCACCCACCCTCAGCCCCACCAGGAACTCCCCCCACCCCCAATTCCGTTTAAAGCTGTAAATAACCCAGTGATTTCTTATACTTTGGCAAATATGTGAGGAGCACTCGTCGGGCCATCTGAGACCTATGGAGAATATTAACTCAGAGGGTGTGTTTTTTTCCTAAGAAGAATGGGTGGATACGTTAGGGCAATTTCAGCGGCATGATTGCGCCCCACACAATACAGCAGAGGACAAAGACTTCCCTCAGGGATGATTGTAGTTCAAGATCTGTGAGAAGAGATGGGGATGGAGAAGGGAGGGGCAAGTCACCAGCACAGAGTACCAGGTCCCTCAAGCCCCCCATGATGACCGTGAATTCCAGTGTGCACCAGGGCTCAGGGACACAGGCAGGGGGCTTGGGAGGCATGTCTTGTCCCACCCCTGCTGACAGCCCCTCTGTGTTAGCATCGTGGTGAAGGGCAGGATGGTTCCTCCCAGTGCTGTGTCAAGCCCAGTGACCCTCATCTTTCTGCAGGATGGGTCCCAAAGACAGCAGCCGGGAGTCCCACTTCTCTGCCTGCTGAGCCCAGGGTATCTTGAGAAAGGAGAAGGTCTGTGCAGGCTTATTGCCGGGTACGCTGGCGTCACCACTGTCATTAGTATTAATTACTTTCCAAAGGCAGGCAGCTGTGCTTTACTCCAAAGACTCGCCCCAGCAGCCAGTCCCTGCGTACGGCACTCAGTGTGGGCGCCAGGCCCTGTGCCCAGAAGCCCTCATCCCCCGAAGGTCTCCTAATGTACACGCTTACACGGTGACAGCCGGGATTCTGAGCCACGGAAGCAAAGGAGACGTGACAAATGCCAGTAGTCAGATCAAGAAAGCTGAGTGGCCCCACAGAGAGGGTCCCTTTCCCCACATGCCACGGAGTATGAAAAGCTTGAAGCAGCATCTTTAATTCATGGCCCTCACTTGCATTTGTGTTACTAAATTCAATTAATCTTCTTAAACAGCACACAGACCCAGCGGAGCATCATCTGTACACTCTGAGTTGTGGGGTGTCCTCTCACCCCATTTCACAGAATCCCAAGGGCACAGGGTGCACAAAAGGAGCCGGGGCACTGTGGGATCTGCAGGCCAGCGCTGGACCACGACCTGCCCACAATAAGGGACACGTACATTGGGAGTGAGTGTGTAGGAACTTTAGGAACCTTGATAGGACTCTTAGCTTTCCATCCACCACATCCAAGTGCGAGACCAGTGCACACATGTCCCTGAGCTGGGTATCGACTTTCCAGGGGCTGAGGTTACCAGCAGCAGGGCTATGCGTCCATACACAGCAGGTCAGAAAGGAAAGATGAGGTCCATCACAGAGAGAGTTGGAGGAGCTCTGCGTCCAGGAGGAAGTCTCGGATAGCTGAGAAGTATAAAGAGCTTTGGCACAAAGATGTTCATTCTGGTGTTATTTATAACAGGGAAAACCAGCCACACTCGTGTTTTGAGGCCTAGCCATAGCCCTCAGTCACCCAAGGACCAGAGGGGTGTCCCGAGAAGCCATGGTTGACACTGAAAGCCAGTTTCAAAGCCACCCAAGGAAGGCCAACCCTAGAACCAAGAGGAGAAAGGGAAGAGGAGTTACGTGAGGACGTGGACCCCTGCCACTGTGGGGTTTCCCCAGAGGAGGCCTGTGCTGCTGGGGCTTGGGGAGGTCCTGGGCCATCTCATCACACAGGACCAGGGGGGCTTGGAAGGATGTGGGACGCTTCTCAGGGGTGTCGGGACTTGACCCGTCAGTGGGCCGTTGTCCGATGAAGAGCACGCTTTGGCCAAGGGGGTCTCGCTCCATCTTGAAAAGCTCATACTCCACGTGGGGGAGCCTGATACCCAGTGGCAGGCACCCATTAGTGGCCGTGATGTCCTGCTCAGTCCCCACAGACCAGACTCCTGACCTCCCGCAGCTGCCTGGCTTGGAGAAGTTGAGCATGGCCGTGGTGGCCTGGTCCATGGGGGTCACGTGGGCTTGTGTGACCTCGAACGCAAGCTCGGTGCCACCACGGACCTTGGCAGATGGCGTACCCTTGGTGTAGCGGCCAGTGGCGTGCACAGTGAAGGTGGGCTGCTGGCAGGTGGGGTCTGAGAAGTGGTGGTAGTGCCCCTCCCAGGAGCGGTTGTGCCCATGGAACGTGAAGAGCCTGGTGAGGAAGAGCACTGCGGGCCGCGCCTCACATCCGGAGCTGACCCAGCGGCCATGCAGGTGCAGAGCCGGGGCCGCCTGCAGGGGCAGGACAGGTGGGTGGTGCTCATCAGCACGGGACACGAGGCCACAGGCCAGACAGGGGTAAGCGTGGTGCTGTCACAAGACAAACAGAAAGGAGGTGGTTTTCTATGGTGGAGAGACCCAATTCTGTACCCTCTGACAAAGTTCTGTGACGTCTGGCCCATCTTATCCCCAGCCACTGTCCTGCTCCATCCCTGCAACTGCATAGGCCTCTTTGTCCCTCCGCTCCCCGAGGCCTTTGTACATGCTGTCTCCTCTAGCTGGAATGCTCTCCCTCTAGAACAGTATGTGGCTGACTCCTTCTCATCCATTCATCCATTAAGTCTGGGCTCAACGAGAGGCTGTAGAAAGCCCTTTTCTAACCACCCCATACCGAGTAGCCCTCGGGGTCCCTTCTGGTTCTTTTTCATTTTTAAACAACCATTTGCTTTTGTTGGTGTAGTTGTTGATAATGCACAGTAGCAGAACACCCACCGATTCAAGCGTTTCTCCATATGCAGTTCAGTGACACAAGCTGGGCACCCATTCACCCTCCGTTTCTGAGTTGTTCTCCTCCATTGACAGAAACTCACTGTTCCCTAAGGTTCTGTTGTCAGTTTGATCCCATATAGATAGGGGCTATTTTTGGTTTAAGATTTAAGGTTTAAAGATGATCTCAGGGGTTTCAAGGGTTCATCCAGCCTCCATGGCTCCAGAAAGTCTGGATTCCATGAGAATTTGGATTTCTGTTCTGTGTTTTCCTCCTTTTGATCAGGATCCTTCTATAAAATCTTTGATCAAAACATTCACTAATGGTAGCTGAGTACCATACAGTCCTGGTCTCTGTTACGGAACCATACAGTTCTGGTCTCAGGGCCAAGGGCTTTGATCTTCAGAAATTTCATGCTGAGAGGTAGGCATCTATCCCCTCCACTCTCTTGGAGGGTGAATGTAGCAGCAAAGTCCAAAAGCCATCAAAATATCCATGCCCTCCCAACCCCACTGCCTAGAGTCTGTGCTAAGGAGTCAGCTGAAACATTGTAAAGAGCTATAGCACAAAGATGTTCATTCCAGTGTTATTTACAATAGGACAACTGGCCACACCTGCATTTTGAGGCATAGCTACAGCCCTCAGTAGACCCGCCTGGGGATTGTTTCTTTCTGACTTTGACCTTGTTTATAGTCGCCTCTGCCTTACAAATTCTCATGAGTTGGGTTGACATACAACAGTCAACAGGAAACAGATGCAAATCCACAGTGCGTGGGAGCAGGCCACTCTGAATTTGGAAGGGAAAAAACTAAGTAGAGGCCAGAAAAGAAACCAGTACAGATGTTTTCTTTGTGTGTGTGTGTGTGTTTCTTTTAAAGGGAGCTGCTGCCAGAGTTTAGTCCAGAGCATCCTCCAGAAAGGTACGCATCCATGGGACAGCCACTTGTCAAAGTGAGACTGACATGGGAACTGGCACCTGTTCCCTGCTCTTGCCATTCCCAGAAGGAATCTCAGGGCCAAGAGCCTGAGACAGACAGGCAGGGGGAGGGGCAGCTGAGGGCCCAGCTGGGAGGTCACCTCCAGCCTCTTCCTTCCTGCAAAACACAAAAGCTCTCCACCGATTGCTGCTGGGCCACTTTCATGCCAAACAGGTGTTGTCTGCGAGTTCTGGGTTAGAGAGAAAGGATTTCAAGAAAAGACGACATTTTTGGTTTGGCATTGCCACGCTGTAAAGCTCATTAGTTATTCCTGTGAGGAACCTAACCTTTCCTTGGTTTCCGTAATAGAGGGAATGAGGTGCTATGTGGCTCGGGGGACGCTGACCAGGAGGGTGCGGTGGCACTTTGACATGCTGGCAAATGGCCCCACGCTGTCTGTGCTGAAGTGCCAGTAATTGGAACGTGGGCTGATAAGACTCCGACTCTCATTGAAGCGTTTTAAGCCACATTCCAACTGTTGTCACACGAACGCATATTGACAAGACACAATCCACTACATCCCAATAACCCCACAGGCCACCCTTCCGCGAAGAAAAGATCTATCCTCTGCAGATAGGACATCTGGGGACAGTAGGCGGTAATGAGGAGCCCCGGTGGCGCAACTGCTAAGCCCTCAGCTGCTGACTGAAAGGCTGGCAGTTTGAACCCACCCAGCAGCTCCACTGGAGAAAGACTCGGTGATCTGCTGCCCCAAAGGTTAGAGCCTAGAAGATTCCGCGGCATGGGGCAGTTCTGTTCGGTCAGGTGGGGGCGCTGGGAGTCGGGATCGCCTCAGCTCCTGGCAGTAGCAACAGTCAGAAATCTGGGGCAAGTGACTTTCTGCGGAGTGGGAACGGATTGAGGATCCGCCAACACTGGAGGGGAGAGGGAGGGACGGTCCCTTCTCGCTGGTGTTCTTTAAGGGGCAGCTGTGTTCCCCAGAAACCTCCCAAGTCCCGCAGAGCCCTGAGCCACAGATGTTCATAACCAAGCCCCCCGCCCCCCGTTGGAATTGACACATGTGCAGAAGCCAAATTCGCCTGGTTTCAGCCTGTTACATAAAGTTATTTCTCACACAGCACATAATGAATGGTTTCCAATTAACCCCCGAGGTGGTTCCAGCCTTAGATGATTTTGGTCAAGTGTCAGCTGATTGATTAGGATTCTCTGCCCATGCAGTGAATTTGGGGATCAAATTGATTTTGAATGAACTCCTAAAATGGTTTGTGTTGACCATCTGGTCTGGGCCGTGGGCACGGCTTGGGCACCAGAGAGCAGAAGGTGGGGCGGACTTGTCACTGGGGATGTGTCTGTGGCCTTTCGTTTGAGATCATCTTGCCCACTATTCCTTCCTGAGGTGGAGGCTGCTGGTGTGCAGACGTTCAGTTTAATGGCGGCCCATCCACTGTTCGTGTCTGCGTACGCTCCTGTGTGCTCGGCTCTCAATTGCGTTTCGGGCTGGTTGGCCCTCAGGCTGTGACCATAGCAAGCCCGGTGGGGACACCAGTGGCCTGCGAGCCCTGCCTGGGGGATGGAGCGCCACGACTCCCTTCCCTGTGTGGGGTCACCTCGCCCACCCACACCGGCGTCTTCTCTTTATAAGCAGGATAACGTCAGGCAAAGACTGACACTCAGAATGTGACTTGCCAAAAAGGGGACCATTTCTTGCTCCGCCCCTGCTCTGCAACCTGGATCTGAGGCTTAAGTGGAGGCCGGAGGGTGGGAGACAGAGGGGAAAGGCAGCTGGGTGGGTGTTGGGGCTCATCCCCATCACTGCCCCCTTGGGATGCTTTGACAAGTGACTTTTTTTTTTTTTTTTAATTTGACAAGTGGCTGCTTTTCATCGGTGATAAATCATCCCATCTGGTTTACTTCCCGTATGTCTAGTATACACTAGGCACTCAATACATGCTGGGTGATGCAAGGGTTGTATTAGGGCTCAAAGAACACTTGACAGAGAAGCCAAAACTCATCGCTCTATCCATCCATCCACCGTCCACCCATCCATCCATCCGTCTGTGCATTCACCTGTCCACCATCCATCCTTCCCTCCCTCTCTCCTACTCTCCATTCCCCATCCATCCGCCTGTCCATCCGTCCATCCATCCGTCTGTGCATTCACCTGTCCACCATCCATCCTTCCTTCCCTCTCTCCTACTCTCCATTCCCCATCCATCCGTCTGTCCATCCATCCATCTGTGCATTCACTTGTCCATCCATCCATCCTCCCCTCCCCCTTCTACTCTCCATTCCCCATCCATCCGTCTGTCTGTCCATCCATCCACCCATCCGTCCATCTACTCACCACCTGTCCATCAATTCGTCCCTTTGTTCTTTTCAGAAGTACTCACTGGATACAGAGCAGAGAGGTTTTTAGCCTGGAGTCTCTGCCTGGCCTTTGTTTCTGCTAAGCTGTAACTAATGAAAGCGAACATGTCCTGCACATGTGAACCTATGCAGCGGCCCCAGCAGCACTGGCAGAGCCTTTGAATTTGTCACTAGTGGAAGCCATTTATCACATTGACGGGTCGCACATACTTGCAACCTTGTCTGCACTCATCAGGACTGGAAGGAAGGATGGATGAAGAAGGACCTACATTCCTAGATCCCAAACTTTCGAGATTTGGATCACTATTTCAATGTATTTCAGTCACTTCTCACTCTTCCTGGTAGTTACGTTCTATGAAGCTATATAGGTTCTATACAAGCACTGAAGTAGCAAATCCCGAACCATTGTTGCTTCATAGGGGAACAGAGTTAGGTTTATGTGAGCTGCTGGTCAGAATCTTTTCATCACCTGATCAATACATTACCTTGTTTTCTGTGTATTTCTCTTTAAAGACCCTTTGTTTAATAGGGTTTTAAATTTAACTTAATTTCATCATGTCGATTCATTCATTAATGCTGAGCACATGGCTGACGCGCTATTTCTCCTGTCCACGAAGCTTGTCTAACACAAGTGTATTCTCCGTCAGGCCCGTCACAGCCGTCTGGTGCTTAGGAACGCTAGACAGCACTGTGGCACGATGTGCGGGGGCCACTTTAAACATCAGAGCCACCGCGAACGTCGTGGCGCTAGACAGACTGCCAAAAGGACGCCTGCTGCAGGCTGAGGGCTGAAACAAGAAGCAGCGCGCGCTCAGTTGGAGGTCAGCAGGGAGCGTGTGTGTCGCCGACTCCTGGTGCACCATTCTGCTCACGCCCACAGATGACTGCGGGAGTGTTGCGAGTGTCGATTTGGGGGTTACGGATACATTGTAGTGAGTAAGAGACTCGGCAGATACTGAGCATCGGCTATGGCTAGGTGGTTTTTGGTGCAAGGCAGTGGATTTTCTTTTCCGCGTTACACCCGCTATTCTGAGGAGGGTCTGCAGCCTCCACCGGCCCCTAGGGTACCCTGCCCCAGGGAAGGCCCAATTCTCCACACCCCCAGAAACAAGCCAAGTGTCCTGTGTCTGTTCACTGTCCAAAAAAACAAACAAACAAACAAAAAAACCCCACCAGACCATCCCCACATTAGGACACTGTGTGATGGCATAGCTGAAATGACAGGCTGCCTGGCTTTAGGGGGATGTGTGTTGGGGGTCAGGGGGGCACCTCAGTGCCCTCGGTCCACAGGCTGGCTCCCCAAGGGCAGCCCACCAACCCCAGCACCAGCCCCACTCGGGAACTGCTTAGAAACCAGAGCCCTGGGCCCAGACCTGCTGACTCCGAGTCAGCTGTCTGACAGATGCCCAGGCGAGGTCGCCACTGTGGGTAGGGTGGACGGCCTGGCCCCTGGCTCCCTGCAGACGTACTCAGCCCAGGGGGTTTCTAGGGTGATGTTCCATCAGCAGCACCCCGGAGGAAAGCTCGCCTTTCCTAATTCATTCAGCAACATTTCCTTGCGTCAACCCAGTGCCAGACCCTGTGCAAGGTATCAGCCCTGCTCCATGGACCGTCTGGGTGTCAGCCCTGCTGCATGGACCGTCTGGGTCTGGGGGAGAAGAAGGCCTGAAACAGTGCAACTTCAGGGCATAGGTAGTGATGGGAAGGCCACAGTTGGGAATCTAGAGGGTGGGGACTAGAACTTAGGGAAGGGGGATCTGCCCAAGCTCACCTGCCCAGCAAGAGCAGCAGTGGGGTCCTGCAGGGCCCAGGAGGACCTCGTGGGGAGGATGTGGGCCTGGCGAGGGTCAGGTGTGGGAAGGGTGGACAGTGTTTTCTTCTGGAAAAAAATTCAGCCCTGTGGAGCCCTAGGAGAAGTCTCAGGCAGCCGGGCCAGCATGTACAAAGGTCCTGGGGCAAGTGGGCCAGAGAGGGAGGGGCTGTGGTAAGAGTGAATGGTGGAGGAGTGGCCAGCTTGCTGGGTGCAGGGGCTCATCCTCCAGGGCCCCAGACTCACCAGGGCGCTCTGCAGTGGGCGCTGGTAGCCGGTGGGCCGGTAGTGCCGCCTCTCTGCCGGGTCGGTGTGGATGTCCCCCAGGTACAGCTCCTCCACCAGGCACGGCGGGGTGCCGGGCTGCGGCTGGAGGTGGTGCTGCACTCGGACCAGGCTCAGCTCGTGCATGGTGAAGCCCAGCGCCGCTGCGCAGTCCTGCTCATCCCGGCCACCCAGCAGCTCATACACGGCCCGGGGCATCCAGGCACTGGCTGAGGGCAGCCGCCGGGCACAGTCCTGGCAAGCTCGGCTCTGGCCGAGGCGCCCAGCAACGGCAAGCAGCGCGCTGCGGCTGTGGAAGACGATACCCACTTTGTGCAGGTGGTAGTCGGCCTCCGTGGCGCCCCGGGTGACCCAGGAGGGCCGCCGCAGCCGCACTTTGCCCTTGATGAGCAGCGAGTGTGCAGGCTCCCGGCACAAGGGGTCCCAGTAGTAGAACTGGTAGGCACGGAATAAGCGGTTGGGATAGAAGGTGTAGGAGCGCATGAGGAACTCTGGTCCTGGACGCACCTCGCAGCTGTTGGATGGGAAGAGAAGGGTTGGCAGCAGTGAGAATCTGCACGAGGAGCCCCTCTCCCCCAGCTTCAGTGTGGACCCAGCTCCCACCAGCCTCCAGTTCCAGCCTTGGCTCCTCAATGGCCCTGCTACCCAGGCACCCCAGCTCTTTGATCCCTCCTTTGTGACATTAAAGTGACAGGTCTACATCACAGGGTCAGGAAAGTATTGCACACAGTGGGAATACCTGGGAGGTGCTAAAGGACAGGATTCCTTTGCAGCCATTTGGGGACCAGCTATTCTGTGTGCCCTGGGAGACAGAGACCTTGCCTGATTCTCTCCCCCTTGAACCCCTGGCACCTAGTACAGCTTGGTACAAACTGGACCCTCCTAGATGCTTGCTGAATGGATGGATGGATGATAGATGGATGAATGGCAGATTAAGGATGGATAGTAGATGACAGACAGACAGATGTATGGTGGATGATGGATGCGTGCATGTATAGATGAATGGATGGATGTGGCTGGCTGTATGGATAGATGGATGGATGATGGATGATGGATGCATGGGTAGATAGATGATAGACCGATGATGGATGGATAGATGGATGGGTGATGGATGGGTGATGGATGATGGATGGATAGATGGATGGGTGATGGATGATGGATGGATGGGTGATGGATGATGGATAGATAGTTGGATGACAGTTGGACAGATGGATATATGGATGATGGATGGATAAATGGAGATGGATAAATGGATAGTTGGTAGATGATGGACAGGTAGATAGATGGATGGGTAGAAGGAAAGATGCATGGATGGATGGATGGTGGATAATAGATACATGGATAGATAGATGGTGGCTGATGGATGATGGATGGGTAGTGAATGATGGACAGATGGATGATGGATGGGCAGATGGATGGATGGATGATGGATGGTTGGATGGATGGTGGATGTGGTGGATGATGGACAGATGGTTAGATGAAGGGTGGATGGATGGATGGATGATGGGTGGGTGGATGATGGATGATGGATAGATGGTAGATGATGGTTGCTTATATCTTGTCTCCCCTTCTGACCAGTGAGAAGTCCTTCCTTGACCAGGGTTCATTCATATCTGTGACAGGATTAGTTAACCTAAACCATGGTACTGCACACTTTTTCTGTACAGTGTCAGATAATAGACATGTTCAGCTTTGCATGCCAGATAGCCTCTGTTGCAACTACACAACTGTCATTGCAGTGCTAAAGCAACAGATACAATATGTAAATGAAAGGGTGTTTGGGGGTTCCAATAAAACTTTATTTACAAAAACAGGCAGTGGGCCAGGCTTGGTTCATGGACCTTAGTTTGCAGGTGATGCAAACAGGTACAGGGGTTGGAGTAGAGTAGGGCAGCACAATGACTCCTGCACCCACAGTCATACCTGCCCTGGGCAGGGGAACCTCCAGGACTTCTCACCGAAGACTCAGAGAGAGGGGTGGGGGAAAGAAAAGGCAATTACTATTGCTCTAACCCCACCCCTCGTCTGTCAGTCTGTCCTGCTGCGGTGGCTTGCATGTTACTGTGAGGCTGGAGGCTATGCTACCAGTATTTCAAATACCAGCAGGGTCACCCATGGTGGACAGCTTTCAGCAGAGCTTCCAGACTAAGACACACTGGGAAGAAAGATGGGGCCATCTACTTCTGAAAGAATTGGCCGCTGAAAACCTTATGAATAGCAGTGAAACACTGTCTGATGTATTACTGGAAAACTTTATCAAGAGCCATGAAAAAAAAGTCTGATACAGTGCCAGAAGATGAGCCCCTCAGGTCAGAAAGCACTCAAAATACAACTGGGGAAAAGCTGTCTCCTCAACGTAGAGTGGACTTAATGACGTTGATGGAGTAAAGCTTTTGGGACCTTCATTTGCTGATGGGACACGACTCAGAATGGAAAGAAATTGCTGCAAATGTGCATTAGTAATTGGAACATGGAATGTATGAAGTATGAATCTAGGAAAATTGGAAGTTGTCAAGAATTAAATGGAACACATAAGATCGATATCCTAGGCATTAGTGAGTGGAAATGGATTGGTATTGGCCATTTTGTATCAGTCTTTCATATGGTCTACTATGCAAGGAATGACAAATAGAAAAGGAATGGTGTCATCATCAAAACAAATGTTTCAAGACCTATCCAGAAGTACAATGCTGTTGGTGATAGGATAATATCATATGCCTACAAAGAAGACCAGTTAATACTACTAAAATTCAAATTTATGCACCAACCACTAAAGCCAAAGATGAAGAAATTGAAGACTTCCTACTAACTTCTGCAGTCTGAAATTGACCAAACATGCAATCAAGATGTATTTATTATTATTGGTGATTGGAATACAAAAGTTGGAAACAAAGAAGAGTCATTGGTAGTTGGAAAATATGGCCTTGGTAACAGAAATGTCACCAGAGACTGCATGATAGAATTTTGTAAGACCAACGACTTATTCATTGCAAATACCTTTTTTCAACAACATAAACAGTGGCTATACAAGTGGACCTTTCCAGGTGGAATACACAGGAATCAAATTGACTACATCTGTGGAAAGAGGCTGTGGAGAAGCTCAATATCATCAGTCAAAACAAGGCCAGGGGCTGATTGTGGATCAGACTACCAATGGCTCATAACCAAGTTCAAGTTGAAGTTGAAGAAAATTAAAACAAGTCCATGAGAACAAAAATACAACCTTGATTATATCCCACCTGAATTTAGAGACCATCTAAAGAATAGATTTGACTCATTGAACACCAGTGACCGAAAATGAGAGGAATTGTAGGATGACATCAAGAACATCACACATGAAGAAAGCAATAGGTCATTAAAAAGAGAGAAAAAGAAGAAAAGACCAAAATGGATGTCAGAAGAGACTCTGAAACTTGCTCTTGAATGTACAGTAGCTAAAGCAAATGGAAGAAATGATGAAATAAAAGAGCTGAACAGAAGATTTTAAAAGGCAGCTCGAGAAGACAAATTAAAGAATTATAACGAAATGTCCAAAACCTGGAATTGGAAAACCAAAAGGTAAGGACATGCTCAGCATTTCTGAAGCTGAAAGAACTGAAGAAAAAAATTGAAGCCTTGAGTTGCAATATTGAAGGATTCTATGGGCAAAATATTAAACAATGCAGGAAGCATCAAAAGATGCTGGAAGGAATACACAGAGTCACTGTACCAAAAAGAATTGGACAATGTTTAGCTATTTCAGGAGGTGATATATGATCAAGAACCAATGATATTGAAGGAAGAAGTCCAAGCTGCACTGAGGGAATTGGCTAAAAACAGGGTTCCAAGAATTGACAGAATACCCATTGAGATGTTTCAACAAACAGATGCCTCATTAGAGGTGTTTACTTGTTTATGTCAAGAGATTTGGAAGACAGCTATCTGGCCAACTGATTGGAAGAGATCTATGTTTGTGCCCATTCCAAAGGAAGGTGATCCCACAGAATGTGGAAATTATCAAACAATATCATTAATATCATACACAAGTAAAATTTTGCTGAAGATAATTCAAAAACGGTTGCAGGAGTATAATGGAAGGAAACAACCAGAAATATAACCTGCATTGAGAAGAGGACGTGGAACTAGGGTTATCACTGCTGATGTCAGATGGATATTGACTGAAAGCAAGTAATACCAGAAATATGTTTACTTGTGTGTGGGTTTTATTTTATTTTTTTGTGGATCATAACAAATTATGCAAAGAATGAGAATTCCAGAACATTCAATTGTGCTCATCAGGAACCTGTACATAGACCAAGAGGCTATTGTTCAAAGAGAATAAGGGGATACTGCATGGTTTAAAATCAGGAAGGGTGTACATCAGGGTTGTATCCTTTCACTATACTTATTCCATCTGTATGCTGGGCAGATAATCTGGGAAGCTGGACTATATGAAGAAGAATGGGGCATCAAGATTGGAGGAAGACTCATTAACCTGCAATATGCAGGTGACACAACCTTGCTTGCTGAGAGTGAAGAAGACTTGAAGCACTTACTGACGAAGATCAAAGACTACCATCTTCAGTATGGATTACACCTCAACATCAAGAAAAAAAAAAAATCCTCACAACTGGACCAATAAGCAACATCACAATAAATGGAGAAAAGATGGAAGTTGTCAGGATTTCATTTTACTTGTATCCACAATCAATGCCTACGGAGGCAACAGTCAAGAAATCAGATGACGGAGTTCCGGCAAGATGGCGGACTAGGCACATGGACTGCACAGACGCTCTTCAACAAAGAAAAGGGAAACCAATTAACACAGACACAGAAGATAATCTTGGACCCCTGAGACTTGAAGTGAAGGATACATAAGTGGACTAAACCCCAACTAGCAGAAGAA